GGGAACGAGACGCTGCGTCTCTTTGCCATACTCCCTGCATCCCTCCAGGCGCTACTTCATCGAAGCTGGTTTGCGCTCTGCCGGATGCGCTTTTATACTTTCTGGTGCTTACGTCACCCCGCTCGTGACGTCTCGCTACTCCATTGGACTGATTTGACACGTGCTTCAGAACGCGGTCACGCAGGGGCGTTCCCAAAGCGACTTCGACGCAGCGTCTCGTTCCCTTGGGAACCATGGTTACATACGTAACCTAGAGACGTTTCAGCTCAAAATAACCCACAGATCATTTATTATATCATTTTGAAAATGCCTATTTTACGGAGAAGCAGAAACACGCTGTTTTTCATGCATGCAAATGAGCTGCTGCTCCCCGCCCCCTTTTCCAGAATAGGGCTGTGCCTTTACAGCTCGTACCTCAGATACTCTGCCAAAACAAATAATCTGTTTGCTTTTGATTATTTTGATTCGAAGCACGCACACAGAAAGCGGCTGTCACACGGCATGTGAGCACTAAACTAAGTTCTCTTACATGTCTTATCATGTCATTTTCATATTAAAAACACATAAGTTACAAGAACACAGTCTGTTATGTCTGTGAACGCAAACAGCTGGGAAAGAAATTGCATGTTTATTATATTAGATCTGTGTATTAAGTGACAGAAACGTAATATACATTACTTATCCTGCTGTCTACGCTGTGAATATGACCCAAACAATAAAATAAAAACAGAAAACGACTTCACTGCTCTGGACTGAATAACCTCTATAGGTTTAATAAGAAGACATTTCTAATACGGCAGTGTCCGTCAACAGTCGTGGGCGGGGCCTGTGAAATGTGACGTCACTTTTTACAGATTCTGCAAACGGCTTGTTCTGAGACACTGCTTATGATTTATGGGGATTAAAAAAAGGAGTGGATTGTTATCATTATAGGGTGGTTGTGTACACACACATTTATGTTCAAACAACATGTAAAAGTAAATTTTGCATAATAGGTGCCCTTTAAAGGAAAGCTCTGGGAAATCTACCTTGGTCTCCCTTCACTTATTTCCTATTTGGGATTTTGACTTTATGTTCAACTTTAAGTACTAAAAACCAAATGTTGTCTTTTTGTAACCAAAAATTCTTTGTAAAATCCTTAGAATTTTTTCATCGAAGGCCCCCCAGGTCCAATGGGATTTTCAGGTCCAGTGGGGCCCAGAGGTCCAGATGGATTTACTGTATGTATTAAATCTATATATCTATCTAGACTGTCTACAAAGACCATCTCTCTACAGACTGTAATTTCACTGTTCGCTCCCTCCACAGGGTGCGCCTGGTCCACCTGGTCCTCCTGGACCTCCAGTAAGTTCAGCTAAGGGAACAGTTTTGAAATAGCATAGTTTACGTTGCATAATCCTATGATGTTTAACACGTCTTCCTCCTGTCAGACAGGGGGCAGTATGTAAACATATACAGTATGTACTTCTGAGCACTAGCACTTGCTTTGGAATGAAAGTAAATAGTGCAATCATTACAGATGCATTAAGTATTATAATTGTCTGCTTTAAACTGTAGCTCCTGAAGTGTCAATTGTTAAAGGGGTCATATGATGCGATTTCAAGTTTTCCTTTCTCTTTGGAGTGTTACAAGCTGTTCATGAATAGATAAGATCCCTGAAGTTGCAAAGACTAAAGTCTCAAAACCATAATGATCTTTAAAAAAGCATCATATGACCCCTTTAAGTATAAATGTCCTTTAGTAAAAGTGATCTCTGACTCGAGAATGGCTGAAATAGCCATACAATAAGGTTTGCTGAATGTCTCTGCTTATTCTACAGGGAAGTCCAGGTCAAGGATACAAAGGAGAGCCAGGAGAAAAGGTATGGGTTTCATCAGCTTACAAACTACTAAGCATTCCTCCACACACAACTGCTTTTAGTTTTCACCATTAGTGTCATTAGGTTCAGATAATAGCCTCATTTCATCCAATACTGTCAACATATTTGTTGCATAAACACTTAAGATGCATTTTAGATATAGATCTTTAGCTGAGTCCTGGGTGTTTGCTCATGTTTGTTTGATTGTCTTAATGAGAGCGTTTTTTCCTCTCTACTGAAGGTGTATTGCATGTGTTTGTTGGTGGTTGAAAACAAACACTTCTCTGAGTGTCTCTGATGTTAAAGACCCCAAGACATTTTTTAATGACCAAAGTTTTCTGTCTTATGACATTTTTCCTATTTGACATTTTTATTATGACATTTTTCCTATTGAAACAGAAAGTCTTGGCAGGATATATCAAATGGCTTGTCCCTTTGTATTTTAATTTGACTTTAATTATGTCTCAGTCATTAACCGTTATTTTGTACTTGCTGGTTGGTTGCAGGAGAGAGGCGTTCTTATTCCAAAGAGCATTCAACTGGACAGAAGTCTGTGTTGTGCAAGATGTATTATCAATATCTTTGCTTTCTTTCCTGGAAGAGAAAGACTGTAAATCCAAATGCTTATTTGTGAATATTTAGGATTACACTTAGCATATAGATGGCCTGAAAGCTAAAAGACATGGACTAACAGCCCCAAAACTCTCATTTTGATTTCATGGGGTCCTACAATCTATATTTTCAAGTATTGAATGTTTTTTCATATATCTGTAAAAAAAAAAAAAAAACATCTTTAAAGAGTCTGGCACACTCAGAGAATGGTTATAGTGTAACATTCAGTTCAAATAGTGTTTTAGTCTGCTAGGAGTCTGATTAATAACAAGCTAGCTAAGGAAAGGATATTAAAAGATTATACTGCTTTTGCCTTGCACAAAAACACTACATCACTCTTTCATTCTTATCATCTTACCCTATATCGTCTCACTCTAGATTTTCTTCTTGTCTTCCCTTTCTCCAAAATAGTCCTACTTCCAGCATGCCTATCTTGTTCCATTTATGTTTTAACCCATCTGCAGTATGTTTCCGCTCATCTCAACACACACTACACATAAAAGCCTTTTCCTGTAAAGGAATGTATCCTTATGGTATGTTCAATGTGGTAAATGCTGTTGAATTTTACTAATAAGCATGGTAACACTACAATTTGGAATGTATTTTCCTCTGCTTTTAAATGGCAGTTCACAGATTTCATAGGCGTACAGAACACTCCCGACAGTGTCCGTATACCTTGTAAAGCCACTCATACTGCGCGTGCAGTCTCTGAGCTGCTATTAATTTAGCTGTTTTTGAGTGGTTTGTGCTGGTGTTGGAATCATCTGCTCCAATCTTCTGTGTGCCTTTGTTTCCTTTGGTTGGGACACTTAACCCACAGAACCCAAGAGAAAACAAGGACCAGCTAGTTCTATATTCAATTCATTGAACTTGTCAGATAAATCTATGAAATAAATTCAAAATAAAGCAGTGGCAGCAATAATATGCATGCATTTGTAGCAGTAAATATTACAAAAGGAGCCCTCAGTCCTGCTGCTCTCACTTTTCATTTCACCTTTCATTCTCTATTACTTCTTTCCTGTTTATTCTCTGTAAAAATCACTCTCTTTATGTTTGTCTTGTTTTCCAGTAAAAAATGTAAATAAAGACCCCATCAAATCAAAATTAGAGTTTTGTGGCCTTTAGTCCATGTGTGTTAGCTTTGGCACCATCTATATGCTAGTGTACTCTAAACATTGACGTTAAAATTAAAGCAGATATACAGTACGCATTTACAGTTTTTCTCTTCTGGGGAAAAATGACCAAAAAGGCTGATGACTCAGTCTGCATTTCTGGAATGAAATTTTAAACCTGACTACTGACCAGCAAATAGCAAATTATGGTTCATTGCTGTGACATAACTGAAGCCTTTTCTTCAAACACTTCAATATGTCAAATGTCCTAAAATAAAAAAATAAATAAAAGCCAACATGAGAAAATGCAGAAAACTTCATTCATCAAACAATGAAATGGGTATTTCACATACACTAAATTTAAAAGCAATATTGCAACTTTCCAGAGAAGTTGTCTTGAATTGTGTTCATTTTTCTTAAACAAAACAAAACTTGCTAATGGGGTGAGAAATATAAACAGGATAAATATTAAGAATGTTGAGACATTTTTAAGATTCTGATTTCTGCAGTGTTTCTTCTGCCTGTTGTTCCCACACTCTTT